CAGATTAGGGGCCCTCTAATGAAAAATAAACATGCAGCACATTTGACTTAGAAATATAGTGACATATATAATATTCAAAGACATATATTCAATGAGGTATATTTGCAATTGCTAGTTACTAGTATCAATTTGGCTTCCTACACAGAGCAACGGGGTTCTTTTCTTGCATATTAGATGCTGATACTTACAACATAAAGCTTCTTTCCAAAAAGAAAAAAAAAATGCACATATTAAAAAACAACACAGTGCCTATTCCCACTGAATGGACTATCCAATTTGATATTTAAAAAGATGGACAACTGATTGTCAAGGAGATAGGTATAATATTTACATATGTAATATGAAACTCACATGTCATTCATATTTTGGAGATGTTGTAACATGCACAACATTAGCGGCACGCCTGGCAGTCCTTTCTACAGTCTCAGCTCTATCCATCCCAACGCCTACTATGTAATGAGTTTCCTAAAGCTGCTGACACTGGAGAAAAGGGCCTGTTTGGGGTTTGTTTCGTTTCTATTCTTCTGTTTCCATCTCTTTACCAGAAATGCTTTATGGAAATAGCATCTTTTCCTTTGCCATCTCCTGCTGTACTACAAAGCACTGGAGAGGAGAGTGAGAGATGGTTAGAAAGAGGGGGTGGGGCGAGAAGGGTCCTTGTTCACTCTCAGTTGTTCTGAGCTGAGAGGCGGCACAAGATTGATGACATTCCCTGGGTGTACAGGAAGATCTCCTCCTTGTGAAACACTGCTCATGAGGCCTGATAGACTTGTCATCTCTTAATAAACATCACTGATGTGTCGGAAGGAGAGAGCCGGCACAGGAGAAGGGCATACCCAGCAGAGTGCTTGCCTTTCTCGATGATTTACTTAGCTTGTCCTGCTCATGGTGCCACAGAGGAGTGGTCCTGATTCCCTACCTTGAAAAGCCTCTGCAAGGCCTCCATTCCCACTCAGGACCCAGAGACGTGTAATTGTCATCCAGCTCCGCCTTCTGTGGGAAACTTCCTAACTTCCCAGGTCTCTTTGCATCTCTGAATATGGATGCAAAGAGGAATTAAGTATTACTGTGTTACAGATCTTTCCTTCTGCCGGTAGGCAGGGCACTCCACACACTACTGTTCTCCCTAGTCCCTGGGAAGCTTCTTCCCTGGCTGTTTAGAGTGATACAGAGAGATCATCGAATCAAGTTTAATAAAGTCACAGGAGCAACCTGGAGAAAGTCTGTCCTGGTTCAAGAACTTCTTTACCTCTTCCTCTCTTGACATCTCTTCTTTCTCTACCTAGCTTATAAATCATTCTGAAATACAACCTTCTCCACAAATATGCCCCTGATTTATTCAATGGGCAGTCCTCGCTGCCCTTTAGTGCATGTGGTCCACAGAGGGAATTCTCAATTTCTTCTCCACTTGACTCCAGAGGGAACACACCTCTGTTTCACCATCCAGGTCCCACTTAAGAGCTGTCACTAAGCACATGTGCCACAGACACTTGATGCAGAGTGAATGTGTGCATGGATGAATTCCATGTTCATTCTTTTCCCTGTCAAACTTGAAACCAAACTCATTTTTGCCTCCTAAATAAACATATAAACGTTTCAGTGTTCATTTTTTTCACTGGGATGTTTAATTCTTCTTTTCAATGGGTGATCAGCAATGTTTACCTCTACACACCTACATTGGAGTCTCCTGGAGGACAGGGAGCCAGGGGCTGTCTCTGGACAGCACTAGAGTCCCTTTGCAGGAAGTAAAGTCTTTCCTGATGGATGTTGCCAATGACCATGATGAAGATGCTCACGGACATCTTCTCCACGACTGGGGATGTATTTCATTGTGTTAAACAAGCCACACAGACAGCTTAGGTGACGTAAGACAAGGCTTGGCCATTGGAATAACAAAAGACCCAAAGACATAAATGGGGTCCCAGCCTGGTTGTTGTAGTAGGGCCCTGTGGCCCAGCTTCTTCCTAACTGAGGCCAGTCTCCATGCTCCGTTTCCCCGACGGGAAATTGTTCTTCTGATATTTTGAAGTCTTTTATATGTAACATGTGTGTGTAGCCAAATAGTGAGATTTCATTTTCGTCTTGAAATAACTGTGATTAATAAATTACAATGGAGCTGCAGTATTAGCTTCATTCCCAGGGGAACCAAAATATGTGCTTATTCCTAGAAGTCAGCCACAGCCTGAACTCAAAAAGTTCAGCCCCCCACTGGAATTCAAGGAGGCTTATAGCTGTGTGTCAAGACTGGGGAGTGGGGAAGGAGGGGAAGTTTACCTTTAGAATACCCTTCTGTGATCCTCTTTTGTTCTCTATAGTGAGCCTATTCCTAAGGCAACTGCCTCTTTATTATTCCCCTATTCCCCTCATCCTCAGACCCGGACCAGCAAACAGCACAAGATACAACATGGCCCCTGTCCTTAGTCCTCTACCTCTTCAGGCCAGCAGCCTTGCAGGATTCCTTGCAGGAAGCCTCCATTAGCCATTTGCTCTGCAAATTCACTTGCTGGGGCATCTGGGAAAACAGATTTTCTGTAATGGTATGGACAGAGTTAGCTGCTTAGCTCTGTTAGAGAACCATTTTTCTTTAGGTTTTGTATTAATTAGTCCATTCTTAGCATGTCTTACTACCATGAAGCAGGAAAGGGGGGGGGAGGGAGCGAGCGCGAGCGAGCGAGCGCGGGAGTGAGCTGGGACGTGCCACACTTTTAAACCATCAGGTCTCATGAGAGGGCACTCACTAACACAAGAACAGCATGGGAGAAATTCATCCCCATGATCCAATCACCTCCCAACAGGTCCTTCCCTGACATGTGGGATTACAATTTGACAAGAGATTTGGGCAGGGACACAAAGCCAAAGCATAACAGGTTACAGGATATCACAAATACTGGTTAATTTTGTGGAAATACAACAATTCACTATATAAGAGGCTTTAAACTCAACCTAAGCAGCAAAGAGGTAAGAGGCTGCTGTTCATGAGTGAGACTGGCTTTGATTTCACGTTCTGCCTCTAATTGTCTGGCTTCGCAATTTTTTTATTAATTTTTAATTTTTGTAGGTACATCATAGATGTATATATATGTGTGTGTGTGTATGTATATGGAATACATAAGACATTTTGATACAGACATACAATGCATAATAATCATATCAGGGTAAATAGGGTACTCATCATCTCAAGCATTTATCCTTTGTGTTACAAACAATCCAATTATACTTTTTAAAGTTAATTATTTATTGTACATTTGTACAATAAATGATTGTTGACTATCGTCACCCTGTTGTGCTATACTAGATCTTATTCATTCTATCTACATATATCTAACTATATTTCATCCCCATTTATCATCCCCACTCCCCCTAACCTCCCACTACCTTTCTCAGCCTCTGGTAACCATTGTTCTACTTTGTATCTTCATGAGCTCAGTTGTTTCAATTTTTAGCTCCCACAAATAAGTGAGAACATGTGAAATTTGTCTTTCTGTGCCTGGCTTATTTCACTTAACATAATAACGTGCTGTTCCGTTTATGTTGCAAATGACAGAATCTCATTCTTTCTTAAGACCAAATACTCCATAGTTATAGATATCATGCTTTCTTTATCCATTCGTCTATTGATGGGCACTTAAGTTGCTTCCAAATCTTGGCTGTTGTGAACAGTGCCGCAATAAACATGGGAGTGCAGGTATCTCTTCAACGTATTAATTTCCTTTCTTTTTGGTATACCTAGCAGTAGGATGGCTGGATTATATAGTAGCTCTATAGTTTTTTTTTTGTTTTTTTTTTTTTTT